TAACTGGACTATTAATTATCTTAATGATGGGCGGTCTGCGAACAGAGACTGGACCTGACTTTTATGATATTATTACCTTAAAAGGTTAACTTTGCGGTGTCCTATAACTCGATACCAGTTTCAAGATGTCAGAAAAGTTTCCCAAAACGAACAGCTTGATATAAATTTGCGTTGAATTCTTATATTTTGTAATATGATTTCAAACTTTCATCAAATAAATAAGGAATCGTACAACTAAGTGACTAAGTTTGAAGATAATTTAAATTTCCTTAAGAAAAGGCTAGCAAATAGAATTTAGTACAACTTGAAAATTAAGATTAAGATTAAGATAAGACATCTCAAACCACGTAAAGTTAATACGAAATAAAGAGGAAGATGTGAAAAGGAAGAGGTGTCCAGTAACCTGTCACGACTGTCGACTGTCACCAGTAACCGTGATATTTCCATTTTAGGGATGTCAGAGACCAACCTTGCGATGCTAGCGTATAAGGCGTGCTGTTCCCATTTTATACTAATAAGAAAAGGTCTCTTTCAGGAAACAGCCATAACATACAGACAGCACTCCAAGCCCCAAAACATTAATATCATCAGGATTGTTTGTTTGTCTTTACCTGGCTCGCCAATCCCTGTGCGCGTGTGCGCGGCACTCTTTTCAAGCTTCATGAACAGGAGAGAAGCGAGCAATAGACTAGCAAGCTAGGTAAGCAGTAAGGTAAGCTAGGTAAGTTTGTCATCACATGTAATTAGGCACTGGTTCTTTGACCCTTTAAACTTAGCTCTTACAAAAAAATGATACTGCAGCAAATGAACTGTAGTTATATGGCGTGGCTAGTAGTAATACAAGATAACACGGTGTTATCTTGTTAACACCAGATCACTTCAGTAGACTTAGCTGCAGATAATCTGACTAGTCTTCAGATAAATTGAGCTACACATGAGCAATGTTTAGAAGTCTTAGAACTAGAAGGTTGTCTTAGGATGAATAGAAAGGTATCCTTATTCCGAGTAAATGGAGAAAAGAAATCGTTACCACTATCACAAAGAAAGGAGCCTCAAAGGGGCGCCAAATGCATCGTGTGAAATCGTGTATGCAATAAATGCAAATACCCAATACTCCTTTATACAATGCACATATTCTTTGTTGATTACAAAGTTCCGTCTCTCAACTTAGTATAGCAATGTGGTCAAAGGACACCTGACAAGATGGTTGCAACTACTTTAGTTATATAGTGTAACTATAGTTTTCATACTAATACTACTACTAATATTACTATAACATCAACCCTCTTGTTAACTGACAGGTTTGAGAGCATTTCACGGGTTGTCACCACCAGCTTAACAAAATGAATATTGATTTTATCGCAGGTTGAATTGAAATGGACTCACGACGGATTCTATGAGACTTTAAGCTGCAGAATGAAAGCGGTAAAGATAGTACAAAATAACTAATGCAGCCAAATACCATCTCTTCAGGCTGGACCACCCATCTCTCCAGGCTGGACCACCCATCTCTCCAGGCTGGACCACCCATCTCTACAGGCTGGACCACCCATCTCTCCAGGCTGGACCACCCATCTCTACAGGCTGGACCGCCCATCTCTCCAGGCTGGACCACCCATCTCTCCAGGCTGGACCACCCATCTCTCCAGGCTGGACCACCCATCTCTTCAGGCTGGACCACCCATCTTTCCACGCGACCACCAAGGCTGGACCACCCATATATTAATTCGTCAAACAAGGGGCGAGGCTCGAAACTACGAGGCCAGTAGAATTAAATTCACCGACGTAACTTGTTTGTGTCTGCTAATAAATATGCAGGCTGTGGAATGTGGAGTACCAGTGCACGTTGTGGAGAACCATGCTCCCGTTATTATATTTTACTAGCAGGAACCCGTATAACCCTAAAATGGTGTCAAGACTCAAGAGACTAAAATAATTATTACCTATTTAATTCGCGTTTTTGACACCACTTGGGGGTCCAAATTTTGGGCCCAAAATTCATATTCCTTGGCCAATTTTTAATTTTTTATGCTGATTTGGAGGCCATTAAAGCATTTGACCCAGTCAAAAAAGTTTCAGTTGTATATCTTTTACAGTTTTTGCGGAAAGTCGCGTTAAAGTTGATGCCGTGGTGTCAGTAAAATAGTACGGATAAACACATATAATTATATATGTTATTTTACCAAAACCCATAATCATGGGTAGAGTGGACCGCTGTCAGTGTCTCTCTTTCCCAAACAAAAGGAATTGATATTACTTTGATTGACCGTTCTCAAATGTAAAATGATACCGAGAATGAAATCGGTCGCTCGCTTTTCCCATTCATTCACGGCTTACGAATTGTAATAAGTTTCGATTGATTACATCAATCAGATGCTGTAAAAATCTCTTTGGGTTGCGTTCGGGTCGATACCTAGTATTTCGGAGTAAGGGTGGTAGTTATTAGTATTACTTATTGAATTAGCTGAAGTTTATTGAATCTTCATTGCCGAGTACAGCTGCCTTTGGGTAGTTCTTCTTAATCTATTACAATTGTAAATGAATGGGAAAAGCGAGCGACCGATTTCATTCTCGGTATCATTTTACATTTGAGAACGGTCAATCAAAGTAATATCAATTCCTTTTGTTTGGGAAAGAGAGACACTGACAGCGGTCCACTCTACCCATGATTATGGGTTTTGGTAAAATATCATCTCTTTTTGATTATAATGTCAGGGTACTTTATAAAGTCGAAATATAAACTGATATCTTCATTAATAAGGAGGAAGTTTCAACGATTTCGAAATTTTTCCTTTAAAAACATTTCCTTGTGTTTAGGGAAGCATATCGGTCGATCACTGACTGAATATGCCATTTAATACTCATTCAAGTTGGCATTAAATTCATATATAATGACATTAAACTGTCGTGGCAAAGCAGAATTTGTTGGAAATCACGAATGAGCAAAATTCCCACCTTTCGCACGTGCAAACTTTGAGCAGACGTTGCGTGAGCATCCAATATTGAATCGCCGTAAATTTTTGCATGTAATTGTTTTATATATAGCTTGATAAGCATGCAAAGTTTCAAAGTATTTCAAGAAGAACTGTTATCACAACGGCACTCTAAAGTTGACAGAAAATGACGAAAACAGCAATTTTCAGTGATTTTAGCGATTTTCTATCAATTTGGGCGTGTCCCAACGTGTGCAACTTTTCGATTTTCAACTTTAAAACTAGCCTAATGCACAATTTATACCTATAGGAAGCAGAACTGAGCTCCACAATCCAAGGCATGGCCCAACATCAGAGAATACTAAATCGCAAATTTGACGTTTTTATAAAATAATTCTTCAAAAAAGCACAAACTTCAATGACGAATATCTTTATGAAGGAGCAAGTTAGAAAAACTTTCCGGTAGATTTTCAGAATGCTTGAACAATTATCTAAGATGAAAATTTCCTCAGATTTTGAATAAAATTACTCCTTAATGGTTTAAAATTAATTTTAAAAGTTATTACTTTGTCAAAAATCAAGTTTTAAAAATGGTTAACTTGATGACGTCATCAAGGGGTGTTTATGACGGCATATAATTTTTTTATACAATGTAAACTAAAGTATAAACAATTATTTGCAAAACCTGTGGTCGGAAATGGCTGTATCTTTTATACTTTTGAATTTATGGACAATTAAATACAGGCTACAATTGACTGGCAAAGCGTCTATCCCTGAATATATGTATATATATATATATGTATGTATGTATGTATCACGACAATCTATCGTAAAACAGGGGTTCTAGAAAACCCACTTCCCGATGCTCCTGAAACCTGAAACTTTTTTTGCAGTCGATTTGGTCAACGTCTAGACGCCCTAAAAAATTTCAGATCTCTAACTCAATTTTAACATGGTTTTTAAGGCACCTGAATATGGCGATTTTGGGTTTTTTACCGAATTTCGTATAACAGTGCTGGCGAGTATTTTATGCAAATTTCTTAAAAATCTCAACATTACTATTTTTTATTCCTGTCATCTTTGACATCAAATTAGAATGTTTTGAACTAAAAATAAATCTGCTGAACGACTTCCGATGAGTCTTAATGCCTGAAAAACTCGTGCCGGAGGAGGCGGCCTTCGGCCGCCGCCTCCGGCCGGAGTGCACGCTTCGCGTGCACGAAAGAGGCTTCCGACGAGTACCAAAGGGGTTATAGTAGTAAAGGGGGTATAATAGTAAAGGGGGTACAATAGTAAAGGGGGTACATAGTATACCCCCAATAAAGACACCGCTCGTGCTTGCCAGCACTGTGATATATCGTCTCGCTTTATATATAGTAAGATAGTGGGCTGGAGAACGTTCGGGTAATATCTAAGTACAGTTCTCCTAGGTGAACTGGGTGATGAATTAATTTTTGTTTTGTCAGGACTTTGGTGATTAATACATTTTTGTTTTGAAAATAAAGCTAATATTGAATTAGACGTTTTGGATAAAATAATGATAAAGAGAGGATTAGAGTAAGACAAGATATAATCCACCATGGTTTGTGGTTACAATTACCATGGTAACACCATTTAATGATCGAAGTCCCCTCAGTAGCAGCGTATGCTCGCACGCAAACAGGTAATGGTAGAAAGCCATGATCATAGTTAGTCGAACCTATACTAACCTAACAATGTTTGAGTAATATCAGGATAATATCTAGAATCATATAACCAGCAGTCTCCAGTTCATCGGAAACAAATTTAACGAAATATTTGTCGAATAAACCATTATTTATGCAGTTGGAGCAGCTTGATTTCTAGGTATTACATTTCTGTAGTATAACAGGTTGGTAACGATATAACACCAGTGATTGTCTTGGTACGGGGGCTTTAACAACGCTATATTCCCTGCCCGTGGGATAATGAAATCAACACTATTGTTTTCATCAGGAGATCAAACTAGAACACATGTGCGTGAAAAGGAGGCGGCACCTCTTAGTCTGCAAAAACCAATCTAGAAGATGATAACAGTTAGGTACTAACCTTTTTGCCTTGAACGCCTTCAGATAGGCGGATACAGCGTCCAGTCCAATTATTGTGGTTGGAAGGAGAATGATGAGGGCAGCTGAGAGCCATGCAACAAGTCGTGTCATATCTAGTGTATATAATAGTGATCAGTAGCTAGCTCCAGTATGTATATAGGTGGTGTTTATTTGATGCCATTCTATGCCACAAATTTAGGTTATCCAATATCACGTTTGGAATGACTTGACATATGAGTTGTGATTTAATTGTCAAAAATGGCATAAATTTTGAAACTGGAAAGGCATAGATTTTTATGGCATAGCAACGAAAAATTAAAGATCAGCATACACTATACCTGAAACAATTGAAACTAGTTTGTTAGAATAAGAAATTCATTTAATTAAAAACGTGACTTTTGACAACGTCTATTCACAAAACAACACTTCAAAACCTATTTTGGTGTAAATACCAAAATACCTCATATTCATGATCTATCTATTTAGGAAAGTAAGAATAAGAGTCCCGTACAAAAGAGCATTTGATTTTGAAATTTGAGCTGGCAGACGCTCAATAATTAAATCACGACTGACTGAAAGCTAATTGGGATGATCACCGTACCGCGGGGCTGTAATTGATCATCACCTCACGTGACGTCACGTGACTAGTGGCGAAAAGTGGCATGCAACGTATGTCAACTAATTTACATGAAAATTGTATTCTATAGTGATTTTCCCAATTACTTTTGCACTCGAACAACCCTTTTTTAACTTCACTGCATCAAACAATAAATGCGATAACTTTTAAACAATCAATAGTACCGCCATTAGACTTCAACAATTTTTGCAACAAAGTTTGAAATTTTCATACAAAAAATCCATTAAGTCAAATATATGTCATTAAATTTCTGAAATCAATAATCTATGAATGAAAATAACGAGACAACAGAGAAAAATTGATATTCAGAAAGTGTTTTTGATCTGGAAGAAGTATACAGGGTGTCCAAAAAGGGAACCAAATGACTTTTGTCAATAACTCACATTTAACTTATGGACGTTAAGCTTCTCAAGTCATATGCTATGACAGAGAGAGAGAGAGAGAGAGAGAGAGAGAGAGAGAGAGAGAGAGAGAGAGAGAGAGAGAGAGAGAGAGAGAGAGAGAGAGAGAGAGAGAGAGAGAGAGAGAGAGAGAGAGAGAGAGAGAGAGAGAGAGAGAGAGAGAGAGAGGGAGGGAGAGAGAGAGAGAGAGGGAGAGAGAGAGAGAGAGATAGAGAGAGAGAGAGAGAGAGAGAGAGAGAGAGAGAGAGAGAGAGAGAGAAAGAGAGAGAGAGAGAGAGAGGGAGAGAGAGAGAGAGAGAGAGAGAGAGAGAGAGAGAGAGAGAGAGAGAGAGAGAGAGAGAGAGAGAGATAGAGAGAGAGAGAGAGAGAGAGAGAGAGAGAGAGAGAGAGAGAGAGAGAGAGAGAGAGAGAGAGAGAGAGAGAGAGAGATCGGATTACTTCAAGGGTTTATGTAGCTTAGCATCACATGATCTTCCATTGGGACCAAGAACAGGCCTATAGCATACAAATTAGTGAGGTTTTAGACAATCTATAAAAAAGTTGAAAGGTTACCACACCCTACTCGAATGAACTAGAGCTCTAGTGTGGTAACCTTTTAAACGGTCTCAGGAGATCATACAGCTACAGTCTACACCCACTGTAAATGATAAATGACGTCCTCGAACCATTCTTCAGATATTAACACTAAACATAATATGTATATGGTTGGTTTGTTGGGACACCCTGTATATATTGTTATACATATATATATTTATACGCTTTTGTTTGACCGATTAAAACGTACCAGAAAAACAAACTCACGTCAATAGACAGCATTAGTGCTGAGAGTCTATGATGCAAAATATTCAAATCATTTTAACATTATGTATTTATCCCAAAATTTGGAAGCACCATATTTGATCAATACTCTATCTTAACTTCACAAAAAAAATCTTGGAAACTGAAATAGAAAGAAGCTTTAAGGTTTAAATCTCTTAAAATCCTGTCTCTTAAGAAGAGAGCTACCATTAAGAAATCATAAAACAGTCATCATAACAGTCATGATCCGTATAACTTTTGATCACAAAAATCCTAATACAGTAAAACCTCGATTTACCGCGCCCCGATTAACCGCGGCCATTTCCTTTCCCCCAAATAGGGCTTAACATGCGTATTCCGTAATGTAAACAAACAAAACCCCGATTTACCACAAACCCCGATTTACAGCAGCTCTTCCTTTCCACAAACTGCGCGGTAAATCGGGGTATTACTGTATAAAATGTTAGATCAAACAAATTAAGTTCCTGTTTTGCTATTCAACTTTCCGGACGCATATAATCGGTCTTCTCATTGAATCTCTACCGGCAAACAGTACATAAACTGGATCCTAGTGTCTGATACGTTTACTATTTTCATAATTCTCATTTAACAAGGTAGAAAGGAGACACTGAGCAACAATTTGAAAACATATTTAAGCAAAACACACATCTCCTCAATAACAAAGATATAGTCAGTGTGCACGTGCGATAACACAGATCAGTGGACCACCTCAGACATATAGTCACGTGATCAGTAACTATGAGGACAATGTCACGTGATCAGTAACTATGACGACAATGTCACGTGATCAGTAACTATGACGACAATGTCACACAGTAATGCCAGCAGTGGCCGACATCATCTCTCTGAACTGTTTGTCCATCTCCATGGCGCTGAGACGCTGAGTTTCCTCCATGTTCACTAAATGGTCACGTTCCTCCACCAGCTGAAGCAGCTTTGAGACCAGCTCCTGCTCTTTAGACCTGGGCAATTTGTCAGGTTAGTCTCCACAAATCTGCTACCATATAGTCACCAGTAAAGTATACCTACAGATATAATATAGTAAAGAGTCCTCAATAGTGAATATATTTAGTTCCCACGCTCCTTGTAAAAATACCAGATAGTCGCTAGTTCTCATGTTTGATACAGGAGAAACGCCATTTTCGGACGTGAGGACAGTTAGGACTCCTCCAACTACATTCAATTAATACCTTCTGTAACGTCCTCAATAAATGTAATAGACTTGTAGTGTTGTAATTAGTTTAAAACTTCTCTTTAAAAAGGGAATAAATGTCCATATGAGAATATGATAGGACCCGATATTAATTAGTATGGGACCAACTCCTGCTCTTTTGTCGCTATCTTAGCGATATTCCTCCATCTTTAACCGACCAATTATCTTATTCAATAAAGAATAAGCAATCATACCCCATAAAGTAACAGCGAATGCAGAAGATTTGTGCAACCGTTTGCCAATTATTCAAAATACTACCGGTTAAGATTACAACGAATTTTTATCCTGACGAAAAGATGACAGAGAAAAATGATGACAGATGATGAAAGACACCTAACTTCTTGAAAATTAAATATAGGTTTATACAGCTAATTTAAATGCGACCCCACCACGTGTTATGCAGATATTCTGTACAGTTCGTAGGAATAAACATGCCAGAAATCTGGTCAAATTCACATGATTGCTTAAAATGGAATGAAGATCAGAATTGAGAATTGTGCTACTTGCAAAACAAATTTGTTGTATTTGTTTGTATCAATATTCTGTAACATTGGCGATCTAGTCGACTTTAAAGCAAGTAATTTATAGGGAGATGTGGTAATTCTTTAAAATAGATTATGATTATTTGATTAACCTGGTTGGGTGTTTACTGTCGGGACAGAGCTATTTCGAAATTTCTGCAAAACTAGTCCTCATTTAGCAAATTTAAATCGATAAATTCAAAGGCAGGCGAATACGAGAACCATATTTGGAATCGTTAAACCATGTTAATCATGACGGATATTATTTGACCTACCTGAACTATGAAGCTCGAATATTATTTAATACTCAACCAGGATTCCGGACCTGGTTACTGCCGGGATTGACCAATTTTTCACGGCTTGCTAAATGCTTTTCAGGAGTTCCCGACAAGTTGGCACCAATCCAGGCCAGCCACATACTAGAGTTGTAACTAATTCAAGACTTAATATTAACGTAATATGTAACGTACGTATGTATGTACTGCATAATCGTTATGTACCAAACATGGAAGAACCCAAGTATAAGTTAAATGTGGAACGCAACATTCAGTCAGGGTTTGGACTTTATTCTCTAATCTAACCATTAATTTGAAATTACTAAAATAATTCTCTGTCTAATCCGTCTATTATTGAATATAGTCCATTCTGCGACAGACCAATTGCGTATGCAAATTATGCACATGGGTAATAGCGGTTAGAAGAAGATCGCCATGATTTATTATTAATTGCACAGGATTATTAAGCGATTACTTCTGAGCAGATTTCAATAAAGTGTGACGAAAAATCCGCCCCGGCAATTTATTTTCTTCATACTTCTCTCTGCCCCTGGTTTTAAATACAGAGCTACAGTTAGCGTAACCGCCGTTTAACAGAAAACTATTGAGTCATGACCCTGTCCCCTACCCCCCCCCCCCCCCCCCCCCCCATTTAACGTTTCTAATTATCGACAAGCGTCACTAATTTGTCTCCGATTTTAACCAGGAAACAATTCGAGAACCTTTAAAACTTGACGTTATCCCTTTAAACCTTTGACGTTATCGTGCACTGTAAAAACCACTTTAAATTCCAATTATTCAGTCGCGACGTTTGGAAAAATCTGGAAGACACAAAAAATAAAATAAATAAAATACAATTACACTCGCTGCTCCGCAATGGATATTTTTAGCAAGAGAAAACTTTAGGGTACTGCTGATATAGTATACCTTGAAATAAACTCATGAGCCACTTAAATAATATTTTGTAACAAGAACCGCCTGATTCTAACTCCAAAGTGATAAGCTAATTGCCAATCAGTACTTGCTAAATAGCTTTTTCACTAAACGGATAATATCTGCTCACCAATCATGTGCCTTGTATGTTATGTGTAAACGACAAGGTTGTTTTGATTTGTGATGTGTACTCGAAAATGTGTTGTCCAGCCCATGTGGTTACTTCGTATTTGATAACCACTTAGAATAGAATCGATAGATATAAATAGAATAAACAGGTAGAAATACAAGGGCCCATAGTTGGTGAGTGAGATCTACAAAGGGAACTTACTTTATATATTGTGCTTTGTATTTCTTTCTGACATTTTGCAAATCCCTCAACTGTCTCTCTAACGATTTCTGTTGTAGATTTATGTCTATTTCCTTGATCGATATCACCAGAATACTCTCAAGATGGCTAAGTCTGTTTTTTCGGTTCACTAACTCAAACCAGTCGTAGAGGGCCTCGTCATCAAAACCTCGTCCCCGTTCTGGAAGGAATATTTTGTATTTTATAACAACGACAGATTACGACATTTACCACGGTTACGTAAGCATCGTTTAAAGTAGACGCTTAAACCAGTGCAAGTAACCGGAGGTTTTATAAATGCGACGGTTTAATATTACAGTTTAATATATTTAATATTACAGAAGTGAGAAACATAATGTCACTGAGACATCATGCCACCGTGAACTAGTTACACATTAACCACTTGCTAGAGAACCGAGTGATGTTTACACACATTTCAACAGTGTTAATTCCATGTAATGTAAATGTAGAAACTATTCTGCGTGTTTTAAAATTCCTATTTATAAATTAGTATTAAATTAAACCCCATTAACCATGCCTCTTCCCTTTCATCAAAATGTTCGAAAATAGCTAAATGGTTAGTTTTATATCATTTGACCTTTTATAAAGCAACTAATAAACTAGCCCCAGATGTCAAGCAATCTTTTCAGACTCGTTACTATCTACCCCTTTAATGGAGAGCTTGCCAATTATTACCCTTGAAACCAGTGAGTAACTGTGTATGTCAAACAACTGAGACTCAAAAACCAAAACCCCGATTTACTTCCTTTCCCCAAACTGTAGGGTGAATCATAGTTAATAATAATAATAATAATAACAAAGTATTTATATCCCGCTCATATTAGCAACTAGTAACCAAGAATGGTACTAGCTACTAATGTCAGAGCGGCTGTCCAAACAAAGATAAAACTTTAATAATTTAGAATTCTCCAACAAAAAATTCTCAATTTCCTTTAAACTGCTTATTCGTAACACTAACGTCTAAAAACTATATTATACGACAGACATGGTGGTACAATCAGACATCAGATGGAATAAACTATAAGAGAAAAAAATAATAATCTCGACACATAATGGTTACCTTTATTTATTCAAAAGAATTTAATTAATTGAACTTCATTATACACTCTTCTTTATTTGTAGATCAAAACAACAAACACAAACTGAGGCCTGCATCCCCGTCAATACCACACAATCATTTAATGAGTTGCTCAAGGTAGTAGACCAGGCCGACGGATCCCCAGTCCGATTTCCCTGAGTATTGTCGCACCCAATTAAGGGAACTCGCACACTACATCACCCTGTACCCAACAGCTTGCAAGCAAGCTGCCGTTCACCCACCGGTTCACTGAGGTACAGGTAGATTGCCGAAGCATGTGCTACCAACTCTGCAATCATGTGGTACCGGCCAAAGATACAGGTTTATAAAAATAAAAAATAAAAACAAGCCAGGGCATGGCAAATGGCAGTCTAGTCTCTCCGGACTCCGTGTAAGTGTAACTATACACACAACTCATGACAGTTAAAAATCCCATGGAATGGGACTGTATTTATCTATTTCGCATTCTATGGGGATGATGTTATTGACCGTAGGGTCAAACGTATGTTTTATGTGTTATATTTTCATATGCAGACAATACATCTCTGTAACCCCTAATGAGTCTAATATTTTGAAGAGTAAAAGGTTTAAAATTTCCGGTTTGGTTCTTGGCAGCAAGTCAAGCCGTCTACAATGCACATAGTCTTTAATAAAACGTACCTTTTGTTCTTGGCAGAAACGCAATTAAATAGTGTGCTACACCATGCATATTATCAACATGTTCCGACGTTCCGATCTACATACTCTAGTAGCAGGGAATAGTTGAGTGTGCACTTCGATGTGTACTATTTCTGACAACACAGGGTTGTTTGTTAGGTCATTCTTAACCAAAATCGTGTGGGTGCACAATTTGTTTCGCTAGAGACACCCCTACAGGGCAAATTTTCTAAATTACCCTCAGTCGCGTATACGAGATTTTCGTATTTCGGCTCCTGAAGGTCATAGAGACTTCAATTTTAGCTTAAAATTACCGCAATAGCCATATTTATATACAACTTATGAAGCAACATAAGGTCTCCAGTGCTTTGTTTTATAGATATTGACAAAAAACTGTTTTTTGGCTCAGCGAACCAAAAATGGGACTGAATTTTGGTAACTTGAACTAGGAAAATCGTAGAGACTTGAATTTTAGCTTAAAATGAGCGCAAACATCACATTTATATACAACTTATAGAGCAATATAAGTCCTTTAATGCTTATTTGTTAAGATATTGACAAAAATCGGTCATTTTGACTACACGCGTGAGGAAAAATACCAAATTGGGCAACAACTTTGGTCTTTTTTTGACCAGTTTTGTGCTCAAGTTATTAAAATGTGCTTTGATGTTGTAGATCGGGTGTTTTCTTCCAATATGGGTTTCGGTATAAATCCGGAAGCACCCGGTTCATGGGTGATAGGGGTTAAAAACCCTAAAATGTCAGGCGATGGGCGAGACAATTGTCTGAATTTGGTTATAAAAACACTTGCACTCTTTGCTAGGGTTTGCTTTTTTCTGCTACATCGATCCGATTTCTAACTACTAATCATCCCCCTCTACATCATTCTCTTTTAGATACATGATTTCTATAAGTTCTTGAAGGTACATCCGGCATGATGTAAAGTCTATATCAAAGCATTTTAATGTGGTCTTAACAAGTTGCAAGATATTCAAGTTCACTAATAAAACAGAGATTGTAGGATATTTTTCTTTTACATATTGATCATTGAGTAATTTTGGTTACACATGTGAGGAAAGATACCAAATTGGTTTACCAAACGAAGATTTTAGGTTATCTATTATTCTTTACATGATTATTGACGCAACTTTATAGTCAAACCTGTATTATTTTAAATATTTAATATTTATCCACACTCTCCATAAGAATATTATTGGGAGTCATTTTGTGGTTAAAATTCGATTAAATCAGTATTTCCAAGCAAAAAACTTCCCCAAATTTCTCCTCCGAATATGTTCCGCTAGTTCGAAATTTTAGCACTTATAAACGTTATTGTTAGACATTACATTAGTGTAATACCACTGAGACCAGATGTAGTGATCTATTCAGATAAAGCGAAGAAGGTGCATCTGAAATAAAGAGAACTTTGCTGATCAAGAGAAAAGAATATTAAGAGATATCAGCAGCTGACAGAAGAGATTGCAAGCTCCAGACAGTAGCAGTTCGAGTTCGAGTTCGAGTTCGAGTTCGAGGCATTTACAACTGCAGCCTCCAAACCTTTATGAACCACCTGAACGTAAACACTAAAGAGAAAAAGGCCTGCATGAAGATCGCGGAATTTAGCATGAGGGCATCATACACCATCTATCGGTCCAGAAACACCATTATATGGACAGATGATTGGGAGTTAGTCCAGAGGCTAGTAATTGCATAGTAGGAGCGTATAATGTTTGTAGAATGCAATTATTTTTACACACTACCGTTCAAAACTTATAGATCAAGTGATAGCCTACCCACAATTATATTACAACGTCGTGGGGTCAGTCGATATTGTTGCTAAAAATCAGGAGCAAGCGTCTTGAGACAGGATACCATGAATCTGTATAAGTTTTAAGTAGTTTCATTCTACGTTTAATATTATTATTGGGTCGTTTACGTTAACGTTATATTTGGCCATTTTATAGCCTCCCCTCAAAAAGCCCACAATTACTCAATATGTAAAAGAAGAATATCCTACAATCTCTGTTTTATTAGTGAACTTTAATATCTTGCAACTTGTTAAGACCACATTAAAATGCTTTGATATAGACTTTACATCATGCCGGATGTACCTTCAAGAACTTATAGAAATCATGTATCTAAAAGAGAATGATGTAGAGGGGGATGATTAGTAGTTAGAAATCGGATCGATGTAGCAGAAAAAAGCAAACCCTAGCAAAGAGTGCAAGTGTTTTTATAACCAAATTCAGACAATTGTCTCGCCCATCGCCTGACATTTTAGGGTTTTTAACCCCTATCACCCATGAACCGGGTGCTTCCGGATTTATACCGAAACCCATATTGGAAGAAAACACCCGATCTACAACATCAAAGCACATTTTAATAACTTGAGCACAAAACTGGTCAAAAAAAGACCAAAGTTGTTGCCCAATTTGGTATTTTTCCTCACGCGTGTAGTCAAAATGACCGATTTTTGTCAATATCTTAACAAATAAGCATTAAAGGACTTATATTGCTCTATAAGTTGTATATAAATGTGATGTTTGCGCTCATTTTAAGCTAAAATTCAAGTCTCTACGATTTTCCTAGTTCAAGTTACCAAAATTCAGTCCCATTTTTGGTTCGCTGAGCCAAAAAACAGTTTTTTGTCAATATCTATAAAACAAAGCACTGGAGACCTTATGTTGCTTCATAAGTTGTATATAAATATGGCTATTGCGGTAATTTTAAGCTAAAATTGAAGTCTCTATGACCTTCAGGAGCCGAAATACGAAAATCTCGTATACGCGACTGAGGGTAATTTAGAAAATTTGCCCTGTAGGGGTGTCTCTAGCGAAACAAATTGTGCACCCACACGATTTTGGTTAAGAATGACCTAACAAACAACCCTGTGTTGTCAGAAATAGTACACATCGAAGTGCACACTCAACTATTCCCTGCTACTAGAGTAACAGCGTAGAATTAAACAATAGTTGTTCGTGCGCGCTGACAATTAAACTTTGATGCATTGGCGCGTTCCATAGAGTGAGTGATAATTGTGAGCATTATACGCGCAGTCAAGTACAACATTTGAACGCGTAGCTCCTCAAGTCTTCAATACAACGTTATATATATATATTAAACGAATACCTTGATCACGTAGTCGCATCTCCAAGCCTTGACCGCATATTTCCATCTGCTTTTGAAGGTGTTCGTTTTCGCTCATCTCCTCGAGATATATCTGCCTTTTCTGGAGTAACATTTCCTCCTCTTCTTTGAGGGCCTAGATAGAATAGAGTTAAAGAATGTTCGCGATTATTATTTTATTTCTAAATATTTACCACAGAAACCATAAATTAACGCTTTTCCCATCCCCGTCACCAGGATTTAAATACCAAACGTCATGCCTAAAACAAGCGACCAGCTGTTGTGGAATAAGACGACAAGTAGGAACTGAACAAGGTAACCATAACAACTAAACTCACCTGTAACCTGACAACTAAACTCACCTGTAACCATAACAACTAACTCACCTGTAACCTAACAACTAAACTCACCTGTAACCATAACAACTAAACTCACCTGTAACCATAACAACTAAACTCACCTGTAACCATAACAACTAAACTCACCTGTAACCATAACAACTAAACTCACCTGTAACCATAACAACTAACTCACCTGTAACCTAACAACTAAACTCACCTTATCAATGTCCTCCACTGAACTATAATCGAGTACATTCCGTTTTCCTGAAGTGAATCGTCGCATTACACACATAAAATATTCAAGGGGAATCCGAGTAAAAACACCTTGCATACCTTAATGTATATCTGCTGTGTGTTATGTAAGTCTGTAACACAATGTTACGCACTACATCTTGCTTATATATTCAACACTAAATCTTACTATTCACTAAATTAGATACAGATTAGACCAAGGCGAGGTGAGAATTAGTGTCTGTAGTTACCACCTAACTCGGCAACAAACGTTATACAAAACGGTGTGTGCTGAAGCAATCTCGGCATTGGATTTAGATACAGATATTTTAACACTATTTGAACTGTAGGAGTTAGATACAGACACTCAAATAGTGAAGAGGATGATGAAACTTAGTAGTGTATATATAATATAGAGAGTTAACTTAACTTAACGTTAGTAACTCACCACGCCTCAATATGGGGGAGAAAAGTTTGTTGATAGGATTGATATCCTTCATGGAGATGATGGAGCGACGTTTCCTCTGAGAGTTGTCCAGTTCCAGGGTTTGGTAGGTGGGGTCACACGCTCCGCAAGACAAGGAACGTGGCCTGGAATCTGAAATATTTGGCGTGAGATATTTGCGGGCAGAGGAACTCTCTAATTGAGTGTCACTTGGGAGAATTACAAGAATAGCTCAAATACGTCAGTAATTTAGCCGTGTTTTTACTGCAACAACGCCATACCTAGTGCAGTAGTCAGAACGAAGGGGAGAGTGGGAAACTTTCTTACTTGGTGCACGTGGTCGGATGCCCCCCCCCCCCCCCCACGTGGTCAGATGCCCCCCCCCCCCCCCCCCCCCAATAAAAGAGCAGCTAACTACTTTTCAAAAACCCCGCTAGATATAGTACAGGTGATGACAATGAAAGAAATGAGGAATATTAGAAAGCCTGATGACAAAAGTATATTGAGAGTGTCGACTAACCATCCTCAGATTCGCTGGTTGAGCCGCGCTGAGCACGATCGTGAGTCCCGTGACTGGAATGTCTCTGTGGCATGTCCTCGTCTGAGAACTCCTCCACGTCGAACCTAACATGCTGGCCCTCCTCGTTCTCCTCCAGAGGAGACAGTGATCTGCTATCCTCTACATGCTCCTCAGGAGGATGAACTGCTGGTAGGGACCACAGCTCTTCAGGGTCTGTTACAGGGCAACCTAGTGCTTCTCTGTATTCGTCAGATCTGCAACCTTCTCTCAGCTTTATCTTCCTGCCAGGGCAAAGTCTTGTTAGCTATGTTTTGAAAGTCGAATACTTTTATATTCTTCATCATTATATGTAATTTATAATTACAAACTTGAAGTAGGAGGAATTACTGTTAACAATTTAGTTCGCACCTCCCGCTAACTCTGAGATGGAATGAATCACATGAATTTGGAATGAAGACTAACTTGAAGCAAGACTTGCAGTAGAACATGCTGTCACCATCGTATACCTCATACATTCCGAGAAGAAGCTTTGTTCCGCAGCCGTTACAGACAAAGCACTGACGGTGAAAGAGGCGTTGCCTAGCAACTGTGCGCTCTAGTAGGTAGACATGACTACCACAGATAAAGCACAAGTTGCCTCTACTGCTGCCTCCCTCTGAGAGAATATTATGTTATTCTTCGCACTTTGCTACTTAAATCATTCGCGTTCTCAACCCATTATGATTAATGATGATGGCATTATCAAATGGAGATTTAATTAAAACAGCTTTACAAAATAATATCCTTACGTAATTTTGTCTCAAGAGATTCACCTAGAAGAGTCTGATAATCCAGAACGTTTCAGATTAAAATGTGTAAAGTATTATGTACATATAATTTATACTAACCAACATCATATGCTCGCGTCATTATTTTCCCAACATCTTGTTCACTGTAAATAACATTCCGAGCACTGGGTTTCCTCTTAGGACGCTCCGGATCGTAACTATCTCTCCTCGGAGTCGCCCTCTGATCGTCTGAAAACTGTCTTGGCACTGTGCCAATTGGTTTGTGATCGTCAGGGGTGGTCTGGCGATGGTAGGTGGTAGCTTTAGGTTCGTTCTGACGTGGATTATACGCGGGGGCCTCCGTCTTGTAGCTGGGACTGTATCCAGGGTTGTAGTAACTACTGGGAGGGGAGGGAGGGGTAGACAGCACAATCTTTATAACAACTACTAGAAGTAGAGACAACTAAACGTAACTAGAGGGAGACGCACAGAACAAGTTGGTCGGCACGGTAACTAGTTGTGGTAACTTGTTGTGGTAACTAGTTGTGGTAACTTGTTGTGGTAACTAGGGTTAGTGAAATGAGAGTGTGGTATTTGACTGGTATTGTGGCATGTGGCTAGTGCAGTGTCACACTATTAGTGAAACGTTATTAGCTTCCATTTAGCGGCCCTGTCACTTCTGCCCTGACACTTCAGCTCACAATTTTACTCCGTAATTTGACACATTCGCCAATTCTGGCTTTAAATTCACCAATTCTGGCTTTAAATGATCAATAAGGGGTTGTTAATTGGAGACAACACTTTCGCTCGAAATTACTTTTTATTAGCTACTTTTGACACCAAGAACTTCATCTCTCTCTGATTAAAATGATCCTACATGACTCCCTAATATTATATGCGCACCCACAAAAAGGAACGACTTTAAGGTCCCAAATCAGGGACAGTATATTGGCACTGTTAAGCAGGTACCTTCAAACGAACTGGTAACCGTGCATATTGAATAAGCGCTGAAGCATCGCCTTGGCACGACGCCAGCCTTGGCACGACGCCAGCCTTGGCACGACGCCAGCCTTGGCACGACGCCAGCCTTGGCACGACGCCAGCCTTGGCACGACGCCAGCCTTGGCACGACGCCAGCCTTGGCACGACGCCAGCCTTGGCACGACGCAAGCCTTGGCACGACGAGGCTGTAAACATCAAACACCGGATATTTAGTGCAGGTTTGATCATGTGATCATACTTGATGTTGTCCTCAGTTCAAGTGCCACTATGTGGGCAGGGGGGGGGGGGGGAGGGGCATTGTGCGAGCTGGGAGGGTGCGAAGTGTGTATAACGTTATTAGATCACATTACATGTTAAACGTAATTAATCTTACTAGATTCATACTCTTATCTACTCCGTCATTTCAAACAAGGAATGGTTACTATGGTTACCATGGTTACTATACAGACAAGGCATGGTTACTATGGTTACCATGGTTACTACACAAACAAGGCATGGTTACTATGGTTACCATGGTTACTATACAGACAAGGCGTGGTTATTATGGTGACTGGCATGGTTACTACACAGACATGGCATGGTTACTATGGTTACCATGGTTACTACACAGACAAGGCATGGTTACCGTTATAAATTCTAACTTTGTTCTAAACTTGTTACGCTCTTATTATATGACTGCGCCATTTTCGAACAATAAAGCTGAGTGAAAGGTGTTAACTGTTAATATGGGCGAAATATGAGTTGTGAAGGGTGGTGCTGCTCACTGTGGTTCCATGTGGTGACTATGATAATGATCAGGTGATATGCAAGCCTCTTGATTTATAACTCGTATGTGATCTACATTCTACAATTGAGGGACCACATTCTATATTGGTATATCTGCATTTTGATGGTTTTGAGATAATTACATTTAAATGTTTCATTCTTTACTAAATGGTATGAGAACCCAAATTTTGCATGCATGACATTTCTGGGAACAAATAACATCTACTCGGAATTCAATCTTAACATAAGCATCTTAATCCAATTAGTTAATTGGTAATTTGCATCAGATATACCACTTTACAAATACTTCAAGTGATTTTTTTCTGTAAAATTGGTATATGTGCTCATATACCATTTTGATAGAAGAAAATTATCCATTGAAATTGGTATAAGAGCAGATATACCATTTTGTTGTATATTAAGAAACTTTAGGAGTGAGTTATGAATAGGTACAACAGCTCTTGTACCAGTTATCAATTATTTCATATCGGGACCAAGAATAATATCGACACATATACCAATTGAAATCACAAAAATGAGTGTAAAATTTAAGTTCATATAAATTAACAAGACGTTGAAAAAACCATATCACGGCAGAAACCTTCAACATAGGTGAACAATTAAATTCAATAATGAACGTGAGAATATAAAATGTTTGATCCAGAAAATTATGCGGTATGAGAATTCTTTAAAAACAAACAATTCAGTCCATGATTTATTTGGTATCACGTATAATAATCAGATCTAATGCAACATGAAAGTTACGAGTTACAGTAACTGAAAAATATCGACTAGGTACTGCACAATATACTAAGTTATAGGTAATAAAGATTTAAACTAAGTATATTATTAACTTTATACTATGAGTATAAGCAACGTTTAGTATTTTTCTTTAGGTTCAATGAGGTAGGCTTTTATAAAATTCTTGGTAGAGTGGAGGAATAAAAACTATAAGATCTTTGGTGATGTCTTCGAACTTTCCCTTAGAAATTTTCTTTCCTGAGAGATGTTCGTATGAGAATCTAGAATAGTTTAACATGTGATAAGGTTTTTGCAAAAAATATGTTGTTATGCATTCCGTGATTAGGTTAAGTAGAATTTAAATGGAAGCAGGCATGGAATCATCATGTAAATTCAATGCTCATTGCTAACAGTAACTGTATAGTACAGATTACAGAAACTGAAACGACATAAGTTACATTACCTGTCTCATAAATTAACTTTGGTTCTCGCTGCTGAACCTGTTGCCGGGTGGAAACAATTTTCTCCTGAAACTTCACCACATTCTCCAAGTGCTCCTCCTTGAACCCATACCGTACCTTGTAACCGACATTATCTTCAGTTGCTTCAATACTCCTAATCTTGAACCATTTAATCTTTTCTCCAGCGGTGTCATTGATTTTGCTGACATGCAAAAAATTGATTCCCGGACCAATTTCAGCGTGAGTGAAGTCTTTAAATGTCCCCCCTGTCATCCTTACAACCTTAAATGGCGAAGGCTTTTTTCGAGCACTCTCGATTACTTTTATATACTGGTCCACTGTATATATTGTTTCCAAGTTGGCCAGTTTTTTTTTTATTAAACCAAAGTCACGGTCACCAGGGACAAAAGGATTTCGCGATTATTTTGGCCAAATTTCGCGGTACCGCGAAATTTAACAGGCTATACATTAAACTACACATAAAATTTGTCGCGGAGAATGGGAAATTTCGCGATTTCGTACATGCCGCGAAATCCTTTTGTCCCTGACGGTCACCGGCATTATACGAATGCCCAGAGACAAAAAATTTAACCGCTACACTCTTCAGGGACGGGACGTTTTTTACTGCCCATGCCAGAAACCATGCTACAATTGAATTTCTATTCTGTGCCACTGTTGAGTCGCACCAGTAGATGAGGCGCCCATACTTTTCTATCACCTTCACCGTTTCAGGGAGCATCATGTGTTGGTGTAAAACAGAACATATCTCATGACTCCCTTTTCCAGCTTCACTTTCAAGCCAAAGAAACATGGCTGCCTCATTTGAAGTATGATGGTGAATGCCCTCATTGTACAACCATAGCTGTCTTTTGTAGAAAACTAGGTTGTTTTCTATTTTGGGGAGAGGCATGGTACTTTGCATGTCGAAGGTATAGGTATATTCTAACAGCTGATCGATTTTGTGCTGTTCCAGAGCCTCCTTCTGGTCCTTGTTGTGCTGTGTCTTCTCCTCTTCCGATTTTGACAAGTCGTCACAATAGTTGCATTTGTCAGTGCTGAGAGCTTTGATCTTGACGTGAGGGAACGCTCTCTTGAAATACAATACAAATGTACCATACTTAGGTGGCCGGATGGTTGGATCCTTTTTGATTTCTTCTATCACCAGCTCATGAATCGTCTTTATAGTGATGTTGGGGGCTAGATATAGGACATTATCAGCCTCTTTCGATGTGTCAGTGTAATGGACGTTGTATTTCGGGAACCGATTAACTACTATTTCAGTGGATCTGATGACTTCAGAACTGATAGCCGTTTTCTTTCGCTTGTAGTTTCCTGAACCCTGTTTCTTACCCTGACCTTTAAGGAGACGATTTATCCTGTTATTAGTGATACTGAAAGTGCACAAAAAGGTTGTCTGACACACTGATTTACCATTGATAGAGTATAGGATAGTGTTCTTTCTCTTGGAAGCTTTAGTGCTGTCACTCACTCTATGCTTCTCTGTCAATCTTGCATTCAGCATGAGCAGCCTATCTTGCTCCGGCTTTCCAGCACCCCAAAATCTCTCGAAGTTTTCCTGTCTCTCTTCTTCACTGACCAGACTGCATTTGTCTTTGCATTTATTTTTGCTGCAATCATTCAACTTTAACTTTTTTTCTGGTTTCACCTTTCCTGTCTTGGTGGTGATGTATTCTTGACCAAACTCCCGTTTTCTTTTGTTGACATTCTTTTCCCATAGTGAAGTTGTTTTACCCCGCTTCAGTCCTCGTCCCTTCTTCTCCTTCTCAGAAGCTTTGACTTGAATCTTTTCAAGACATATCTTGTGCCATTTCAGAAATGTTCCTTTGTCAAATTCAATATCATCAGTTGCGTTGTCATAAGATTCTATGACTTCTATCACCACTTCGTTCTCATTAACAGCATGCCCATGACAGGTCGTTCGTCCAGGATGGCATCTAACTTTACCGATTAACACCGAGTTCTGATAGCAATGATAAAGCGTTGGCGGCGCAGACGAAGCTACTGTCACCTGGCTCCCCTGGCCCTCAGCTAAAACCACTACAGGTTCAGATGGTGTAGCTACTGAAGTACCTGGTAGCTCACCAGCTACACCCTCTGCTGAGATACTCGGTTCAGAAGGTGTAGCTGCTGAGATGCTCGGTTCAGAGGGTGTAGTTGCTGGAATATCGGGTTCAGAAGGTGTAGCTGCTGAGTCATTCGGTTCAGGGGGAGTAGCTGGTGAGCTATCTGTTTCAGAAGGTGTAGCTGCTGAGATACTCGGTTCAGAGGGTGTAGCTGCTGGAATATCGGGTTCAGAAGGTATAGCTGGTGAGACATTCGGTTCAGGGGGAGTAGCTGGTGAGCTATCTGTTTCAGAAGGTGAAGCTGCTGAGATGCTCGGTTCAGAAGGTGAAGCTGCTGAGATGCTCGGTTCAGAAGGTGTAGCTGCTGGAATATCGGGTTCAGAAGGTATAGCTGGTGAGACATTCGGTTCAGGAGGAGTAGCTGGTGAGCTATCTGTTTCAGAGGGTGTAGCTGCTGAGATATTCGGTTCAGAAGGTGTAGCTGCTGAGATGCTCGGTTCAGAGGCTGTAGCTGCTGGAATATCGGGTTCAGAAGGTGTAGCTGCTGAGACATTCGGTCCAGGGGGAGTAGCTGGTGAGCTATCTGTTTCAGAGGGTGTAGCTGCTGAGATACTCGGTTCAGAAGGTGTAGCTGCTGAGATGCTCGGTTCAGAAGGTGTAGCTGCTGAGCTATCTGTTTCAGAGGGTGTAGCTGCTGAGATACTCGGTTCAGAAGGTGTAGCTGCTGAGATGCTCGGTTCAGAGGGTGAAGCTGCTGAGCTATCTGTTTCAGAAGGTATTGCCACCTGAAGTTATCAACCATTATAACTCAACAATTTTGAACAGTTCTAGGGGTTTAACTTTATATTGTACCTATCTTTATAATACAATTTGTGCATATATCTGTAAAGTCTTACGATAATTGCTGCATATGGTCCCTTAATTATAATACTGTGTTATATTGTATTCTATGTTTTTTTGTATTGAAGTCTGAAAATGGAATAACGGTTTAGCCCGCTGCTATGCTGTTAACAGTGTTAAGTGATGGTAACATTGTATATACCTAATCTTATTCTTACTGTCTGGGATTTCCCTGTGAATTACAGTGGCTGATCTATAGCAAGCACTGGCCAGTTATCATTCTAATGTAGAATTTTAAAACATTACCTGCCATCTCCTGTATTGCTTCTGGATTACTCTCGCAGAAAAGTCCCTTTCCATTCTTTCCCAGACACCGATTGCAGTTGAAGTCGGGAGCCGTAATTTCGTCGCTGGTATCGGGTAAGCCTCTTTATCCTCTAAAAAGTAAACAGAGAAAACGCCTTTCTGAACTTGACGTTGGACGGTTCCGATATAAAAGGTCCTACCATTCCCAAAGGCATTGGTTTCTACTTTATCGCCAGGTTTCCACACAGTCATTTCCTCTCTCCCACGTTTCCGTCCTGTTTTTACTCTTTCTGCTGAAGACATTGACTGGGAAACAATAACAGCTTAATGTATTATATGATTCAAATTCTGGGACGACGATTCTTGGTGTCTTGAGCTCAAAACACGTGGTTAACCTACGTTGAACAGTGTACAAAATAAATTCTAAAATCAAGTAATATCAGACGAGTATCAAATCTACCAAAAGCTGAAAGGGTAGTAAACTACTAAACCAATACAAGTTCAAAAAACTGGTGATCATACACGTATATAGACCGACACAAAACAATCACTGCAATCCAGAACTACCCCGTACTGCTGTCAAGCACAAATAAGAAGCAATTCACGGATGAGTGTAAGTATAGCCCTCAGTCAAACACACTATTGAGATCATTGAGATAATACACCGACGTTTTCCAAAACGAAAGTGAAGTACCAACAATTAAATCTAGCACACTCCTGCTCTTCAAATAATTTGCGATAATCATTAACTTGATAACGGATTTAACTGTCAGTTCAATGTATCAATTTACACACATTCTATGGTGATGATATATTATGTGAGAAAAATTAGTAATAATTGGACAAAACATAACGGTATATCTGTATGTTTGACTTATAAAATACAAAGAATAGGGATTGAAACTGGTATATCATCAGATGTACCATTTATCAATTGTAAATTCAGCGGTAACAAAGTTGTGAAATTTGGTATATCAGCAGATATACCGATTTCATGAAATTCGAATGCTCATCAAATCTCACTAAAATGGTATATCTTCAGATATACCAATTTCACGGATAAGCTTAGTGAAATGATTTGGTATATGAGCTGTTGTACCAATTTACCATAAAAATTTAAACTATTTTCGACACATGAAATTGTCGTAGAATAAAGAAACCTAGCTCAAGCGATGCAGAATTTGATGCTGATCACCGTGGTATAATTTTCTTAAAAATGGTATATGTGCTGATATACCAATATAGAATGTGGTCCCACAATTGTAGATATATTACTTTCTACATTCTAAAAGTGTGGGGTAGGTAGATCTATCACTATGTGTAGAATGTGGGGAAGGCCGGGGGGGGGGGGTTATTTCCAGGGGGGGCAGTGGCGTTACGAAGGGCCCCGCAGATCCCGCTGTGCAGGAGGGCGCCGTCTTAGGGGGCGCCAAATCGTCGTTTGAATGTGGGATCATTTCGAAAACTTAAATAAAGTACTAGCAAAACTGCGCGTTTTGCTCTAGATACACACTTTTTTAGAGATTTTACCGGCGTATCCTCTAAAATCACCTAATTTGTTCAATTTTAGGGAGGGGCACCAAAAGGGGAGGGGGCGCCTTTTCGGCGGGGGGCGCCAACAGGCAACGTTCCGCCACTGGGGGGGGGGGGGGGGGGTGTTAAGGGGGGTGTTAATGGGGGGGGGGGGGGGGGTGTTAACAATTATAATTCTGATTTGTAGGATGTGTCAGCAGCGTGTTGATACAAGAGTAACAACTAGTGGCAAATGTTGCATTGCAGCGACAGTGTGACACGTTTAAACTTTAAACTTGTCAAACTTGAGTGTTTTTAACTTCAGCAAATTAGTAAGATTGTCATTAGCTCCAGCAAGAACCGCTCAAGATAAGGCGAGAACAATTTGAGAACAATATGAGAATAAGATATGAGGAACTAAAAATGGAAATGTTGGTTAGCATTGTGTTGACATGGTAACGTCTTCTTGACAGTGACATGATGACATAGTGAAACAGTTAAATAGTGAAAAAATGAAATCAGTGACAAAGTGAAATGGTGAATCAGTGACAAAGTGAAACAGTGACAAAGTGAAACGGCGAAATAGTGACAAAGTGAAATGGTGAATCAATGACAAAGTGAAATAGTGACAACGTGAAATAGTGACAAAGTAAAACAGTGACAAAGTGAAATGGTGAATCAATGACACAGTGAAACAGTAACACAGTAAACTAGTGACAAAGTGAAACAGTGACACAGTGACAAAGTGAAACAGTGACAACGTGAAATAGTGACAAAGTGAAACAGTGAATGAGTCCAGCAGCTCTATTAATACCTCTTGTTCGTGGGGGCCCTGAGCTGATCAATGCTGCACGACACGTTTGACAATATGCTCAAATCGTAGTCTCTGAAAAACACATTTACCAATACCGCACTCAGCTGATAATTTACAAACAACACTTTTTGGGTGCACATTTAAAACCGTTACAATAATTACAAGATAAGGATACTTCTTTATAACTTTATTGGAAATTGAAACACTAAAATGCGGGAAGTCTAAAAAGTTGCATGTTTCCAGTAGGGCTTCCCACTTTAGTACGATTTGTTGCTATAAATAACATGGTGTTGGTAACTCTTGAAAAGGACTCTATCTAGCGAGGAAGGGCTGCACTAAGCACATTTAATAGCATTTATAAAATTTATAACATTACCTACCGGAGAGTTATGATCTGAACATCTAAATAATTAAATAGACATTTTAGACAATGTATTGAAATGTAATGTAGCTACTAGAACAGATCTCTTAAATACAGTGAATAACTCAGTCTGACTCGCTGTAAGTAATGATCCTTGGTTTAAAGCGGACATGTTTATTTTACGTAACAGTAATGTTGTGTCATTACTAACGTGCTTCATTACTGCTCCTTCATAATATTTTGTGTCATTACTAACTTCATTAGTTCACATGTTAGCTAGGTTGGTATTATTAACGCTGTTCAGTGTTACTAGTGTCATGTTCATTGTCACGCAGCATCAACATGTCTCAGATGACAATTTGTCATGAATGGTTGCACTACACAATATTACATTACATATTACAGTATATATAGTGTATATATAATATTATATGTAATATTATACACACTATATATTACACACATTACACTATATATTATATATACTCTGGTTGGGGTGACTTTCAAATCTAATGAGATGCATAATATTGGATAATCCTAATAAATATCACATAATATGCATTATATAACCTATTTAATCATACTAAACTAACGTTACAGGAGGGGGGGGGGGTGACATTTACCCCCGTTATACAGTTTACACATTAGTTATCACCATAATATAATCTTCGAAGAGCATTATAAAACGATGTAGACTATACACAAGATTAAATATTCAATCAAATTTGATAAAATACGAGAATAGAACTTGAAGAGAGTACCAAACACGTGGTAAAAGCACGTGGTAATGTTATCTTTACAAGCGGAGTATTACTTACTCAGGTCTCAAGTTTGGTATCATAGATTTGTAACTGGTGTATCAAATTCCTCTAGGAATGTAATGGGAACTATAAACACATTCTTTTTGCATAACACTAGTTATATGTTAGGTAGATGTGACACTAGTTAGGTACCGCAGTCCTGGTCAGGTTACATGCAGTGTGCAGGATTTCTACTCAGTTAGGAGTAGGTCCACTAGTAGTCTGACTTTAGGTTCATTCACTACGGATATAAGTACTTGTTGTACTTGTTTAAAGTGTGTAGAACGTGTCAAGGTTTGCTCACAAGTATGAGATGAATGGTTCACGTAGTACAATACACACTAACACACCATGCCAAGTACACATAACACACACAAACACTGACAACTAAAAACGTGACGTCACAAAGACAAGCATGACGTCACGATTCTCACGAACCTGCTGTTGCGCGGCGTGGTGGGGGAGGGCTGGTCAGTGTAACTGGCAAAGGAATGGTCCAGTACATCTAGCGAGGGCTCGTGGATACTGTTGATGATATCTTCTATATCTTGTCGGGTCTTTTCCTCCTCCATACGGTGAACTGTGCCGAACCCATTACTGGAAAAATGTGGGATATTAGATAATTGAGTTAACACTACTAATGTATTAGTAGTGTTACACTAATATAAATATATTAATAATATATGACGTCACTATGCATTTTTCAAGCAATGGTAAGGTCATATTCCCATTATTAAAATAATCACATTCTTTAACATTCTATAACATTCTATCTCGTACTTAAGTTGACAGATCATCCTACATTTAAAATACGACCTGTAAGTGACAGTCTGCGTGTCACCAAGTTAGACTACTAGTGACACTACTCCTCAAGTCAGACTACTAGTGACACTACTCCTCAAGTTAGACTACTAGTGACACTTCTCCTCAAGTCAGACTACTAGTGACACTACTCCTCAAGTTAGACTCCTAGTGACACTACTCCTCAAGTCAGACTCCTAGTGACACTACTCCTCAAGTCAGACTACTAGTGACACTACTCTTTAAGTCAGACTACTAGTGACACTACTCCTCAAGTCAGACTACTAGTGACACTTCTCCTCAAGTCAGACTACTAGTGACACTACTCCTCAAGTCAGACTACTAGTGACACTTCTCCTCAAGTCAGACTACTAGTGACACTACTCCTCAAGTCAGACTCCTAGTGACACTTCTCCTCAAGTCAGACTACTAGTGACACTACTCTTTAAGTCAGACTACTAGTGACACTTCTCCTCAAGTCAGACTACTAGTGACACTACTCCTCAAGTCAGACTACTAGTGACACTACTCCTCAAGTTAGACTACTAGTGACACTACTCCTCAAGTTAGACTACTAGTGACACTACTCCTCAAGTCAGACTACTAGTTTTCCTACCTGCCGTTTGTACTGTAGTGTGTTTGTACTGTGTTTGCACTGTGAGTGTGGTCTATAGTAGACAGACTAGTCTTCTGAACATTCTCCTCACTGCCGTGATCTGATGACGTCATGACCCCGTCAGTCTGTATCTCCCCAGACCCCGATATCATGGTGAGGGGGGTTTTAGGAACTGTGGGACTTGGACTAGGATCCAGCACGCTATCCTCACTGCTCACTAAGTTGTTCCAACTGTCTCGCTTCTGTTTCCGTCTGGGCGGAGCTGGAGCGGGTCGCTTTATAGAGGTGGGAGGGGTTCCTGGAGGGGTCCTGTACAGGGACGAGTTCTCACTCGTCTTCAGAGAGCTGGTGTTCAGAGAGCTGGTGTTCAGAGAGCTGGAGGTCGCACAGTCCACAGACCGGTCCTGAGAGACGCAGTCAGACGAGCTGATGTCTTGTGTGCTGCTCCTGTAGGAATGTGAAGTTAATCACTGTCACGTGTGTTAAACACACATACCCACCACTGTGTTAGTAGTGTTGTAGTAGTAGTGTTACAGGCTGAGTAGGGAGTAAACATTATATTTAACTACCCATTAGAACTGAATAAGGAGAACAGCTAATTAACTAATTAACTCAGTAATTGATTGCTCCACAATTAGCACAGAAGATAAATATTAAGACAGATATTAAAATGTGTACACAGAACACACCCAGTCTGCTCTGCCAACATCGTTATTGCAGTGTAACACACTAACACATTTACACATTTACACATTTACACATTTACACACGACTACATATTACATAAGCACTTTTCATGATCTGTATTCTGCATGATCTCTGACTATTTAACCACTTTTGGAACCACTCTGACCTTGTAATACACACTACTCCCCTGTACTCCAGCTAACTAAATCTAACTAGGTATTGTTACTTTCACACTGCTCAATACAACCACAATTAAATTGGATTAGCTCAACCTGTACAGCAGCAGGCAACTTGGCAAAATGAGGCCCAACTTACACTACATACTTAATTTACACATCATGCATTAGCGTACACTTTTCACATATGATAAATACACAATAATTATGTACGGGGGAATACATACATGAGCAATGAGCATATATAAGGTAAGAGGCTATATACAAGATAGCAGCGCTACATAAAATATATTTATGATGAGCGTCAGCTGATGTTTGATATGAAGTTGAGAAGTCAGTAATAATGGTATTCAGCTGCAGTTGCCCAAAATAAACAAATTTAGAATCTTAATGGTAGACATGTAAACATGAAAACGACGTAAAAATCTATATTCTCAAGGCGACCCAGTGACAAACATTACAAACATATACATGTAGTATATTCCTCTTATCAAGCAAGAATACCAAGACACGTGATCAAATGGATAAGAGTTACTTTCAGAGGCGGGCCTTGGCCTGGTTTCTTTGTAAAGAATACAGTTTTGAGGTTCGACAATTTAAGTTGTGATTAAAATACAATCGAAATAATCATCTTCGTAATTTTTAAGAGTATTCAAAGAGTTGCCTTTACAAAATAAAGAAAGAATCATCCGAGAACCCCTAAAAAAGAGAAGATAGTTATACAGTGTCACCTAGTCTAACATAGTACTATTAACTATTATACAGACCTGTCAGTGAGAGGGTTCTGTCTGTTGTAGTTAGAGGTAGTGGGAGTGAGGATTGGGGAGGATTGGGGGGTCACTGAGCTGTTAGTCATCCTGTCTCCAGAGCTGTTGTACTCGATAGACGAACTACTCCAGTTGTGTTTCTGTTGGGACAAGTTTGTTATATCTTATAAACTCATAATTACAAAGTATTGATTGTGTGTCATTGAATGTCTCAAAACATTGCTACCAAGATGAAATATCTTGCATACTCATCAAGCATGATTATTACATACATATAATAACATTCCACGGTACACCTAGTCAATATAAACCATATAAAATATGTGATAATTCTGCACACCTTAGCAGCTAGAGGTCGGGGAGGAGGAGCAGGTTTCAACATGGCGTATCTGTTGGGTTCGTGTAGTCTGTAGCGGGGAGGGGAACCTTGCTGTCTTCTGTAGGCTAACATCTCGTCAGATCCCTCGTCTTCCTGTTGTTGCTGCGGGCATATACATTTGTTAACTTGACCTTTAAAGAATTGTTTATTACTACACTGAACATTTTGGTAATCATAAGATCTTTACGTACATTGCAGCATAGAATTGAGCATCTTTCAACAAAATAGTCTTAATAATTATTATGTGAAATGTTACATCCTGGTATAAATGTACATCAAAAATATAAACAAATTAGGTAGCAAATAACACATACATCAGTGTGCTTCAAGACATACTATTTTATTAGAACATTACCAATTAGGTTTTATCTTATTTTTAGAAACTGATTGATTACATTACATACAAATATGCAAATAGTGTTGTTGATTTTCATTTGGTTTAAATTGGCTACAGCTGTTATGTGACATAATAACCCAAAAATAATATAAAAACTCTTTTCCCTGTCTAAATATGCTTTGGAGATACTTCAGTTGAAAACTAACAAACCTCGAAGGGTATTTTATCCTTGAAGTGGTGATAATACTGTGAGAGGTATGTGATTACACTCAGCCTGTCGGGCACGTGCATCTCTACCATATCCTCAGCTTCCAACAGAGCAGGAATTCCTAACGAGTTCTCTGCTACAGTAAACGCTAATCTGTTGTTCTCCAAGATATTTTCTGGATCCAGGGAGTAGAAATTTCTGCAAATTCGAGGTTTAGAGTCGAATTAAATCGGAAATGATGTAACTAGGAATTATAAATAACAATCGCTTCACTAGTTCAACTCAAATGTTTTGCTTTTAGTGTTAAAAGTGTTTTAATCAAATATTTTAACACTTCTACAGTAAAGCTGCTAGTAATAAATAAACTTTCAAAGTTTTCTTGAACATTGTTATTTCTTGAACAGTTGAAGAAGATTAACAATAATCTTACATCATGTCAGGATGAAAACGATGGATGATGGCACAAAATGCCAGTCCATTCCGGAAACTGTTTGTCAAATCATTTATATTGACCCCTGGATAAGATGCGCATTGTCGAGCACACCAGTTCTGTAGAGCTTTCAGGGAAGACTTTTGATTGGACATAAGTCTACCATGAGAATATACTTAATTATTGTGGATCTACGATATAAATTGGGGGCTCAAGAAAGCCGTGTATGCATCCTTATTTAAATGTAAATAGGATGGAATTTAAAACTTGTTTCACTAAATAAATGTGATTATTGTCATACTGCAAATACATTATTATTATTTTAGAAATAAAAATAGCTAATAATTTAATTAATTAAGAACCGTCCCCTTCGAGTTGGCAATAACATAGGACTTAGGGAAACAAGACGCTAGGTATATGGAGGTACCCATTATAGAGAGGCACAGCCTAGAATTTTTCCTGTATTACCTTTTTATTGCAGTACTTAGAATATACACAATTCTGATCAGATCTGCACCATTCGAGCTTTCCATTTATAATTAAATTAAAACAAGAACCAGGTTGTGGACTGTGATAGGAAAAATGAGAATCTCGGAAATCGTCATGCAATCAACACTTCGATTGAATGAGTAAGCAGAATTAGTCATAATAATTTTATGTGAAATGTTACATCCTGGTATAAATGTACATCAACAAATATAAACAAATTAGGTAGCAAATAACAAAGACATCAGTGTGCTTCAAGAAATACTATTTTATTAGAACATTACCAATTAGGTTTTATCTTATTTTTGGAAACTGATTGATTACATTTGCATTACATACAAATATGCAAATAGTGTTGTTGATCTCGGAATCAACACTTCGATAGAATGAGTAAGCAGAAGATTAGCAACTTCTGTAATTGATGTCAGTAAGCTCGATTATTTCATCTATGTAGATTATCAAATGGATCGATTTGCAGAAAAATGCAAGGAAATTTAATCTGATATTTTCAACAAAAAGAACATATAATAAATCTCTCGACGAAAATAAATAAGTCTTGTTTAAAATCGTACATGTTAGTAGACATTTTATGACACTGAATTTGCGCAGCGCTATCGTTGGTGCGTCGCTGCTGCTTATGCAGCCAACATTACATTACATGGTACGCTAATCCCTTTACCTGGAGACCCCGACTATAATGTTTATATTTTTTCGTGATTCTTGCACCTAGTGACCTAGTGTGAGAAAAACGAGCAAGCTACATTGAGCTACATGATTACGAAAATTAAACATACTGGTACGGTAAAGAAAACAATATTCAATAGTGTTTAAGGACACGTTTTTTTTTAAGTGTGGTGAGTTGCTGATTTCACCTTTTTCAAAGTAGAGTGCACAAAATGAGGAAAAAGTCGCAATGCTTTTTAAAGTGCAACCATAAATTTGTACATAGGATGAAGTGAAAATATTCAGCAGTTGTGATTTGAAAAAACGAAGTGCCAGGCTCAAGCAGAATATGACTTATGAGCAATTAAACTGAGTGCCAAAAATCAGCAAACCATTTTAACCTCCAATTGACTAATTCCATTGATTTCGCCATATTTTGCTCAAATATTGTTCACATAACACTAGTAGATTGGAGCGAGTAACTGTTTTCAGCATTTTAGTCATTATTAGCAATTCCAGTAAGTGACAGAATCCAGCAAAAAGTCATTTTTATATCTGAATACGACTGCTCTATTGATGGTTCTTGTCAAAATATTAAAAAGATCAAGGCGTGACTGTGCTATTTTCTGGATAAGATAATGTTTGGTTGTGTCTTTAAACTTATTCTTACATGTCTATGTGCGAGCCATCAGCAAAAAGTCACACATGTATCAGCTTGAAATTTATCTTTTTTTAATTGATGAAATAAGTATCGAAATTTCAGTTCTCTTTTTCAGTCACCTTATTGACTTTTAGATTGAAGGTGCCATTAATCAGTTAAAAGACGGCTTGAACTCTGTACTGCTTACACTCAATTATGTCCCGAGTGCCCAAATTCAGCATATCAGTCATATAGATAAATGATGTAAAAAGACAAAAATCGTCTATTTCTTGATCCATGGGTGTACAAGTGTTAGTTTAAGCATCTATTTCGAAAAGTAATGTGTTCATAAAGGGGTCAAAAACAGATAATAATATTAGAGTGCCACTAATCAGCTGTAGTGACTGCTGCAGCCAGCGTGGGAATTATCAACTATTGGAAGTCAATATCAGCATTATCAATCATCTCAAACCACCAAATTGTTTATGTTGCAGATACGAATCTTAGTTTAGTTATATCCTGAAAATTTAAACAACAAATGTGTCCTGAAAATCAGTAAAAAGTGACTTATTTGACAGAAATAGTCATTCTTACTGCTAAATGGCACTCCTTTTAGTTCAGAATATTGTTTGAGGGAGCGGTGTGCCTTTTTTGTTTAATGTGGCACAATTTTGTTGCACTGTGTGCCATTATTCAGCTTAAAATGACTTCTTTTTCTAGGCATATACCAATGGTAAATCACATAAAATTTGTGCTTTGTAAGCAGTGTTGTGATAACCTGCTATAACTAACTTAAAACTGGCACAATGAACTTCAAACATCAATAGTATGTCCCAAATTTCCATGATGAACATGATATTGTTGTCAGAAATCTACTTTATCGTGCCAATAATCAGCAAAAAGTCATTTCTATGAAGATTTTAAGCTAAAAATATTATTTATAAAATGACTTTTTGCTGAATTAGAACACACAATATCGTTAGATTTTGTAAAGAATCATCTTGATGAACCTGCTTATGCTGTCAGACATCAATTGTATAGTGCCAATATTCAGCAAAGAGTCATTTCTTTCGAATTTTTAATCGTGATGAATTTGACCTAAAAATGACTTTTTACTGAAAACTGACACACTCTTAAGTTGATTTTCGAACAGAATGCTGTTGAGCAGACTTAATCTCGACAGTATGATTGAAAAACGTTCTAATTTGTTGCTGTCTAGCTACTGCAATGTAAAAAAACTCAATTGTAATTTTGTGAGTGAATTTTTACTGAATACAGGCACACAATAGGTTTTTCCTAGGTTACATTATTACAGACCAGCGTTTCTTGAAAGTTGTTACAGTTCATTCACAAGCTGATCGAAAGTATGGGCCTTGTACAACCCCTTCAACCAAACAAGAAATTTTACCAAACAAATGACTTTTTGCTTATTTTGAGCACAGTTCAAGTATTCCTACCCCAATCCAAATATTCTTTGAATAATTCTGAGACATAATCTGAATTTTGAACAGAAAAGTCGCAAAATTCAGTTTTTTACGGGCGTTTTAAACATTATAGTCCAAAATGCTGAAAACTGGCACTACCTTGGTACTATATTATGACATATTAACTAACTAATGGATTTTCCTTACTAGTCATTTTATTTTCATTGTCAAAAGTGTCATGGCACTCAAAGTCATTTTCACCACACTTAAAAAAAAACATGTCCTTAACAATTTTTTTGATTGACGATGCCAATACAACCCTTCCAGATTGTAGTTTTGCTGTTTGCATAGCAACGTCCAACGATCTCGTCAGAAGCAAGTTAAGCACAATAACGCGCGCAGCGCCACGACGTTTAAAAAAAATGATTGTACTCAGCAGCACATGATTTGAACTTCTCTATCCAGGGTTACGCCGACGATCATCAGCTGTATAAAAGTTTCAAGCCAAACGAGGAGCCCCCCGTCCTTATCAACGATGTTCCCAAATGTTTCCAAGAAATTAATGACTGGATGAAAAAAAATTATCTACAGCTCAATGCAGGAAAAACTGAGATTCTTGTCTTTGGGACACCGCTTGTTCTCCAGCAGCTGTCTATAGGGGGCGTGTTTGTTAACTCTGAGACGTGTGTCAGGCTGTCACCTGTTGCAAAGAACCTCGGATTTCGTCTCGACTCTCAACTAAACTTTGGTGAGCAAATCAAGCAACTTAAAACATCGTGTTTTCTGAAACTAAGAGACCTTGCTAAGATGAAAACATTCCTCACAACCAAACAGATGGGAACACTGACTCAAGCAATTGTAATCTCATCGCTTGACTACTGCAATGCACTTTACTATGGTTGTAGTCAAGCCTCAATTACGCAGCTGCAGAACATTCAGAACCGAGCATGTCGTCTGGTTTTTGGATTAAAGAAGAGAGACTCAGTCGAGGAGAAGCTCAAATCCCTTCATTGGCTCAAGGTGAAGGAGAGGATTGAGTTTAAGTTATGCTTACTGATTTTCAAAGCAGTCAATGGTGTTGCTCCTGCATATCTGTGTGATCTAGTAACATTTGTTAGTTCGAGTAGCAGAAGAACTTCCTCCTTACACCTACCCGTCGGATCTACAAGATCACACCCAAGAGCGTTTCAGACTGTTGCTCCGAAAATCTGGAACCAACTACCAATTGAAATTAAGACTTGTTCCGATGTTGATCTGTTCAAAACATTATTAAAAACTCACCTGTTTAAGAAAAGTTATGGCATGAGCGATTAATTGACAATATAATAACTTTATGATTGCTCAAAACGAATGATATCTTCATGAATTCAATGCAGCATCTATACATTTATTCGAAATTAGTGATGAAACTAATAAATCATAATGAAACTAATAAATCAATGTTTTAGCTCATTTTACAAAGTCAAATATTGAAAACAATTAAAATTGTATAGTGCTCAATTTGTAAATGACTAGTTGATCTTTGCTATTGGAAGTTTGTCAAGGACTGGCAGCTAGCGGGGCAAGGAATGCACGGGCTTAGGGGCTTTTGTGCACACCAGAACACTAGCTCGGTAGATTTTTGGAAACTAGAAGGACTGAAAACTAAAATTGTTTTTGATGGAGGCTGAGGCATGTTTTTGAGAGGGACAGTATAATAGCTTGTGGTAACAACAGGCCTTTACTTTAATAGGATGAAGTTTTAGTTTTAGGACAGGAAGAAGGCATTAAGAAGATTTGCTCTTTGTTTACAAGGCAGAATATAAGCAATGTTGGTTATAATATGTATCAATATCTAGATCTTCGTTTATCAATTTTCACTAAATGGGTTTAAAATTTTAATAGGGAGGGAAATTCATCAACTTTATTAAGTACCTATCAAAAATAAATCTTATATCAATGT